AATTTTTTTACGATATTAGTTAGATATTGATAAGTAGGCAAGCTAGCATTTAACTCTTCTGAAATAATAAAAGAGATAATGTTTCTTTCAACGATGTATACCTTGTTATATACAAATCAAAATAAAGAAATGATATTTACCTACTGAGGAAACCTCCCAAAAAAAGAAAATTATCACAAATAGCATTAGGCATAATTTTTTTTGAAAGATCTACAAGTTTATTAATTTGAATATCATTTTTAGGTCATTTATATTGTTGAAAACCCATTTGAGATTTATGTCTTGAAATCGTCATACACTCATAATCACTAGCATCAAGTGACTTTAATAATTGAATTGTTGTTTTACGTCCACTTTGATTTGTTATCTTATGATCAGATATATCAATTCCAGATGCCACAACAATATAACATAAATGAGTACCAAGTCTTTTTTCTCCAACATGATTTGTTTTATACCAAATAGGCTTTTCTAAAAAATCTAAATATATATATCGTTAATAAAAATATTAAATTAAAAAAATACCTTTACAATTGTTATTAATCGCTTGAAGATAAAAGTGTGAATCTGTATTTTCTAGTTGTTTTGCGAAATCTGATCTAAATTTGAAATAGAAATCTGATCTACTTGTCCAAGATTATCAATTCCACATTGATTGGTTTTGGATCTATAAATTAAAATATCATAACCACTATCTTTTTGCTTTTGAAAATAGGTTTTTTAAAGAAAATAATGTTCACCACTATATAATGCAAAAAACAATGCATTAAAAAAAAACACCCAATTAAATAACCCCATGGAGTATTTGGAGATGTACAGCTATGATTAAGAATATGAAGGCACTCATTAATAGTAAGTGATTCTGATCCTTTTGTCTCGCCTTTTCCTTTAACACTAAGCCACTTGATTTTTCCATTAAAAAGTGTATTAAGTGTTAAAAAAATTTTTTTATCATGAATATTAATTCCAGTTAATGATGATTTTTCAGTAATATAACGTTGAAGTGCAGCCAAAGTTGATAAAATCGAATTTACGGAATATTCTTCTTTATCATTACGTTTGGTGTAAGAAAAAAAATGAATCAAATTTGATTCAAGTTTTGAAGCATCAGAAATAGTTTCAATAGTGCCATTTAAATTGTATTCTTCACAGTGTTCCGCAAATTTTTTGATCCAATTGGTAGTAGAACATTTTGTATTTTTAACAGTAGCTTGATCGATAGAAAATGAAATATGATCTTCGGGTTCATTTAATAAAGATTTATTAACTTTTGGCATGTTCTTTAAAGATAAACTAAAATTATAAACAGATGTATATATATTTTAAAAAAATTACGTCATTTTTAATTAGCTTAAATAAACTATTTAATAAAATAATTATATAAAATTTTTTTTATAAATAATATCGATTTTTAAAAATTTAAACTCCTATATGATTGTCTGTCTGTAAAGCATAAATCAATGAACACTCCCGGATAATATCGTTATCAGGTAGTGTTTTAGGTAATATTGGGTCAGCAACGCTGACCCAATATCACCTATAACCTACCTGATAACTTTAAAATATTATTTTATGTTATTATTATTATTTACTTATAATTAAGTTATGGTATAAATAGGTTATTAATTTTCATCATTAATTTTATTCTTGATTAATCCATAGAACAGTTTTTAATCATCCACTTTAGGCTTCTCTTCCTATATATATTATTCCTCCACGAATCTAAAATTTAAATTTTCATTTATTTCAAAAAATGTGACGATTGTTCTTTTTCCTTGTCTTTTCAATATTCTTATTCAATAATTAGCATAAGCTGCTATTATTATTTTTTATATTTTTTATTTTATGATAGGCCCGAGAAAAGTCAGCATAACTGCTAAGTGCTTATTGTGGTAATATTGTTTAAATCATTTTAAATCATTAATTTTATTCTTTTCGTTATTTATATAAAGTTCTTTACAAAAAACATACATAAATTAAGTGGAGGGAAAGGTGGATGGAGTGAAATGAGAGTAGGTAGAATTATTTCATTATTGTGGTCAACAAATAATGCTAACAGTATAATTAAAAAATACAGCTAATTTTCATAATATTCTTGTAATTAATGTCTACAAATAATGATCATGTTAATATAAAATTATTAATACGCTTTAAAGGCTACATTTCAGATTTGTCAAGCCAGTATTTTGCTTTTTCCTCATTTTTCATGGTCCCAATTCCATCGCGATAACAACATCCAAGATTGTATTGTCCAGTGGCATTTCCACCTTCAGCAGATTTCATATACCATTGAAATGCTTTTTCATTGTCTTGAGTGGTTCCAATTCCATTACGATAACAATATCCAAGATTATTTTGTCCAGTGGAATTTCCACCTTCAGCAGATTTCAGATACCATTGAAATGCTTCTTCATTGTCTTGAGTGGTTCCAATTCCATTACGATAACAATATCCAAGATTATTTTGTCCAACGAAATTTCCACCTTCAGCAGATTTCAGATA